TAAGAGCTACAGTTGCTTTAGTGACGCAGTACCTAGCGCACTAATAAATGACTTAGACTGCCTGAAATTTGATTCACTTTTCTAAACGCGTTTTTCTCGAAACTACTTTTTTCCAAACGGTACCGGCATTATCTCAAGTTCTGTGCAACCGATTTACTTGAAATTTTGTGCGAACCTTCTTTATATAATCCTTTAGTCTTTATCTTTATATACTCCTTAATCCCTTGTTTTTACTATTTTAAAAAATTCAGTAATTTACAAAAAAAGGTGTAAAAAATTATGATTTTTATTTTCAGTCAGTCGCCATTTTTCAAACAAATTTTGTTTCGTGTTCCCTGAAACAGGGACTAAAACAGCATCCTTACTGATGAAGAATTTCTTTTGATTTTTTTTTTTCAGACCACCAGGATGCGCCATTTTTTTCCACCTGTCTCAATCCCCCACCCCCCGCTAATTATGTTAATATTTTTTTGTAAATTTTTTTTTTCTGTATTATTAAGATATCAATAGAAACACCATAAAAAATAGATAGTAAAAATATTTTTGGTGTTTTTTTTAAATAAAATTCAAAAAACTGCCCAAAATTTGATTTCTAGAGTAGAATACCCCCTTAACAAAAGAGCCGATAAAATAACAGAATCTAACTTAGCAAACTAGTCCTTCGCAAAAGCGCTTATTTTCACGTGGAATAATGGAACGCGATATAAACATTTCGTATCTTTATCTAGAGATTTAAATTATTATCCGAAAGTATCAGATATTTTGTTAAGTTAAGGCCAAAAGTAACTGAATTGAGTTCTCACCTTCCCGTCTTTGCCATATAGCCATAAAAGGGACTTTCGAGTTTCCGTTTCCTATCTAAGCGTACACAGTATTATGATGAAAAACATCTATAATGAGTGAAATCGATTCAAATTTTGGCACAGCAAGCATACATATAGCATAGTAAGTTTACATCGTAATTGTGCGCTCACAAGTGAAATGTTATCTTTAATCAAACCTGAATCTGAATATGAAAATATGTGAATTTAGTTGTAAGTGCCCCGAAACCCATATTTTCCGTTGATTGTTAAATTAATTTACAGATTACAGAAGCATGCCTGCAGAATTTTTGCTAAGTTAAGCTTAATAACAAAACCAAAATTCTGTCATATTTTCATAAGGAAGAACATTATATATGATAGCCCAATTGAAGTATACTAAAAAGATGTTTGTGTTTCATTTGTATATGAAAATGTAAAAACCACAGCAAGTGATTGATGTAGATAGCTGATGGAAGTAGTATCATTACTTAATTAGAAAGGTCAAAACAAAGTAATTGTCAAGCGCTTATATCATTGATAAGCACACACGCCCCAATGATTTATGGTTGGTCTAATTTTATTTGCAATTTATATAATGTAATGTAAGATAGTGTTTATGCATGCACATTAAGACAAAAAGCAACCAGAAATTGTCAGTCAGTTCACAGGGTATATGTTATTTCCAAAAAAAAAAAAAAAAAAAAAAATACATTTTTTAAACATTAAAAAACATTAAAATTTAATTTTTTTATTTTTTATTTTTTAAAATAAAATTTATTTTATTTTTTTTTTAATAAGCTGAACTATTCTTAATTATTATGACAAATTTGCGCGTGTTCTGTCAACCAGTTTGCTTACAGCAGCTGCTTAAGTCGGTACATTTCAGATTTTTACAATGGATAAAAATATCGAACAAAGAATTTGCCTCAAATTTTGTATTTCTAACCTAATTTCGTATGCGGAATCAGTAAGACTGCTGGAAAAGGCTTACGATGATTTAGATTTACCAAAAACACAAGCTTACGATTGAAACAAAGCCTTCAAAGACAGTCGAGAGTTCGTTGAACACATTGTTCGTGCTTCGACCTTTTCAAGTGATGAAAATATTAAAAAAAAAATGAGAATATGGTGCTTGAATATTTTTTACAAGTGTTAGAGCGATGGCAAGAGAGCTCATCTCTCGCGAGTCCGTTCGAATGATTTTGGTGAATATTTTAGGTATGAAACGCTCGCTGGTTCGACTCTTCCCGATAAAGCTGATTTTTTTTTTTCAAAAAGAAGATCTTTTTGAATAAGCTTCCATATTCATAGAGTGTATTAAAACAAGTCAACAATCATCGAAATGGAGCTAAAAAGCGAGCCAAAGCCAAACAATGAATTCATTCCGGAGAGACAGTGGGTCAATTTGGAGTTCTATTTGATTGTATTGCGTTGTTTGCGTGAAGAACAATTTATGGATTTTATACGATGATAATGCAAAATCACATTGAGCCACAATTGTGAGCGAATTTAAAGTCAAAAACATAATGAATACCATCGAGCAACCACTGTATTCACCAGACTTGGCTCCGTGTGATGATCCAAACTCAAATTACCGCTCCGTGAAACCCGTTTTCAGTCGATTGAAGGATAAAAAAAAAAATTCGCGGAAGAAAAAGTGCTTTTGAAAAGTATTTCAAGGAATTCTTTGGCGTAAGTGTATTACATCTTCTTGTGATTACTTTAAAGCGAAAAAGTAAATATTTTGCGTTTACCGGGTACTTTTTTGTCACATTATATTTATTTACATATACTTTATTGTTTGTACATTTACACTTAAACAGCCTTTACTGTGTTGAACTGTTTATAAATAACCTTTCATTGATTTGAGGTTGGGTTGGCAACATATTGTAGCTAGTTAAATGAAGCTTTATCTAACACAAACACTAATTAATTGGCGGCTGCGCATGTACGCATATATGTGTATGCTAACATTGGAACACAATAAATGGATACATTTAAATATGGCGAATGCCTGTCGGAAAATATGAACGAAAATGAGGAGTGAATTTGAAAATGTATGTATATCACAGCGAACAAAGATTTGCTTATACTTCCACAAAAAGAAAAGAAAAATGTATGTATGAGGAATATTTTTTAATAAATCGAGATTCGCGAACAGAAACGAGTTTTAATTAACGAATCGCTTTAGTATTTCTAAAATTTTCTCCATTAAGTTCTATGCACCTTTATATGCGTTTGAAACAATTGTCGAAGCACTTTTGTCACACTGATTGATATGTCTCCAACGCATGCATTGTAAAGGTATCAAACGCCGCTTCAAGTGTCGAGAAACGCTGGCTTCTTATTTTAGTTTTTACGAACGGGTATAAAAAAAGAAGTCGTTCGGTCCAAGTCAGGTCTATATGGTGCTCAAAAATGCAGTTCTTTCAGTCGCTGTGTGTGCGAGGGCGCATTGTCATGGTGAGTGATCCGTTTTTGGTGGCTAGTTTTTTATCTTTCTTGCAAGAAAAACCGGCGACCATTTGTTGGGAGGCGCTTCGTGCGCGAACAACTTTTGTTGGATTCGGCTCATATGACAACCGCTATACGTAAGTCCACTATTCAACACCGGTTAACCTTTTCTTGACATGTCTGTCGATCAATCGGCACGAGCCTTTTATTTTTAATCTCATGGTAGGTCATTTGGCAATAGCAGCTTGAGCACTGCATCAAACCGGAATAGCAAATGTTGTTGAAAGACCTATATATATTTCTCTACTACTAAACAGCTGGGCTTCCGGAAGCTTAGTCAACGCTGGGCCACCATCTATGCATACGCTGTATCAAAAGCTTTGACCCAAAATCGACCGCAGGAAATGTAGTGATCGCTTTGCACTCAGTAAAACTAGCCTTTCTCTAGCTTTTGGATTTTTAACAAGCCATCGCGCTTTTGTCGTCCACGCAGTAAGGCTGGGAGTAATACCAGATGCCATCTGCAGAAGTTATATGGAAACAGATGAGATAGAAACAATTCAACACTTTCTCCTGACTGTCCCGCGTGTGGGAGGTTAGAACTTAAGCACTTGGGCGCACATAGTTTTATAAGCAGGAATAGAAATTAAATGCCTATGCAAATTTGTATTGGCATTTTGCAAATTTTTAGTTGGAACACAGGAATTCTTCTTTTTTATGATCTTTGATCATTCACCTAACCTAACCTAACCCTCACCTATATGAAATTCATCTTCAAGTGATCCACAACCTCGATTGAAGCCACCATACAAATCGATAAACAGTGGTACTTGATAGAGCTTAATCGCCTAAAACTAAACTGAGTTCAGATATGCGCAGTCGCTATTATAAAAAGCAAACGCGTGAAAATGTTCAAATCACGAGATGAATATTTTAAGTTACTGTAAACAACACAAACAGCGCTCGTGTGTCAAAACGTACTGGGTATGAATAATTTCAAAATTTACGATAGAACTGTGAATTGCCGGAATGCAACAATAGAGTTGTCAAATCCAAAATATAAAAGGCAATATAAAAAATGTATATACGCGAACTAGTCTCTTAGATTTGAGATTTTGATCAAGAACCTGCTCGTGTGTCGGAGGCGCCTTTATCGAACCACTATAGCAGATAATTGCCATACAAACTCACCGTTCCAAACTAAGTCGAGTATGGTGGAGTTTTTATGAAGAGTTATCTTCATGAAATTTGGCGTAGATAATTTTCCAATCTCCGAACTTATGGTTCAGATGGGATACTTATAGCTTTTACTTCAAAACAGCCAAAACAGTAGAACAATTCTCGAAAAAAGAAAGAATTGATGAGATGAGATGTGAGACTCACTGAACGTACAAAACCTATTTCTTGAATGGAATATTTTATGTGTAGGAAGGGTATTAAAGCTTCTACGCAACCAGAGTGAACGTCTTTTCTTGTTATTGTTTGCATGTAAGCAACTTTTCGAGGCTTAACCTCAATAAAAATGATATTACACCTCTGTTTATGAGCAGCGGATATTTTTCAGCTTTCAAGCATTCAGAGCCAAGCCTTGAAAAAACTTACTTTTTCGTAAATATAAATGCAACTTATATAAGAATCCAAGAGCGAAAAATAATAATAAAAATAAAATTTATTGCTTGTTTATGGTTTAAACCAATATTTGTCTCTGCTTCAGGACAATAAAGGTATGCGCTGTTTGCTTACATTGTTGATTTAATAGCTGAAATGTTTGTTCTGCACGTAATTATCGATTGGACACCAAATAGCTCGAAATTGGTAGTAGCTTGTGGCTTCCTAGGATAGCTGCTTGTTGGTTTTATATTCCGAGTATTTGCACACACCTTAAATACGTCAGTTGAACTAACGTGTAACGTATCACTTGCCGAATATGTAATTTCGGAACTCACCACTTTATTCAAACTGATTACTTGTTAAGTAATTTTCGACATCGAATCTCATTTGCTGTAGAACACTCTTGTTTTCGTAATTCATCTTCCAAATTACAGATTTCACAACTACACGGTTAACGCTATATACATTACTTATGTATATATGTATATAATTTAAATGACTTCACATCATATGACCGAATAACGTGAGATGCAACTAGCAATATATATATTTACATATAGTATAATGAAACGGCTCGTCAAAAGTTGCATACACCAAACGGCTGATGCCAGAATGGACACGTGCTAGATAGCCGCCACTTCCATCGATCGCAAGGTTTAACTTAGCTTTACCTAAAACGGTTTTTGTGATTTTTTTTTTTTCGCTTTTCACTAGTTTTACTTTTCACAAGCAATATTTCTTATTATTCGCAAAAGGTGAACACATTTTAAATAATTTAATTAAAAATTCAGCCATCTTAAATGTGTTTTCGCTTGCAAATAGTTGCAACATCACTAACACACACACACACTTCCTTCAAACTTTAATATGTGTACATTGATTTTTTCTGTTTTTTTTTTTTTTATAACGAATATTTGTTTATTTGAGTAGCACACAGTTGCTTCTACTCCTTATTTGTTTTCACAATGCATTATTAACACAATATTTGTTGTATGTGCCGTTAGCCGTAACGAACGCGCCTTTAATATTTTAACATCCTCTCGGTAGGATTTTCATGCTGAAACTGTTTCAAGAAATGTCGCATGCCAGGCTGTTTGCATACCCTCGTCACAGCGTGACCGAAAAGCGCGGCATACATTTCAGCTATTCGCCGTCGTTAAGTTCATGAATACGAGCGCAAACGAAGAGCGGTGAGAGTTACTAGTGGCGTACAGCACAATAACAATGCTAACATAAGCTAAATATAGCCACGTGTCTTGGCTGTGTCAAGTGTGCTGCAGGAGTGAACAACGAAGCTTTCGGAGAGCACCAACCGCGAGCGCGATTCATTAGAGCCCGTTTGGCGCTCAATGCTTCTCAATGCAAACTTGGTATATCCGTGAAGCGCCTTAATTATTTATTTAATTTACTTAACTATTACGCAAAATAAGGTACTCTTCTTAGCTGCTCTTTAGTTACAGCATACACTCTTTGTTTGGTAGTTGATTCTCTTTATACTTTGGTGCTATTTGAAGCCTAATTCTTGGCGCTTAACAGCGAATGTAAGTAAGAATTGTACTAATATTAGTTAATAGTTACGTTTTGAGGCATTTTGAGTTTTGTCGCAACAATGTTTTTTTTTCAACTTAAATATTTTTTTCAATTAAAATCTGTATCTCGTCCATTTAATACAGTTTTTTTATTTAAGAATTTTCTTACAGTCCTATTTTCTAAGTTGGTTCGAACTGGACACAGTGAGTTAAATTTTGTTAAAATCGCTTTAGTAGTTTAGGAGGCCATCGCGGACAAGCAACGTGACACATAATTTTTATATATATAAAGAAATTGCAAACATAAAGGTTTGAAAGTATTTTTCAACCACTTGAAGTTAGTCCGAAAAATATTTTCGGTGACTTGAGCGTCTCTTTTTACACATTGTATAATCAGCTCACAAAACTGTAACCGCTTTGTTTTCGTAAAGCTGGTTTCAGAGTCGGCCTTCGTCCTTCTTATGTTTTTCTAACAGAATGAATGAAGGAATAAGATTATAAATAATAATTTCGAGTTTTGAAATCACTATTAAATGTAAATTTCTTCCTAAAAACAACGTGTATGGAAAGCTCCAAATGTTATCAAACATTAAAAATATGACTAGGTCGTTACTCGTTCGTTACCTGTAAAAATATTTTTGTTTTAGGTTTCTGGATTTGAGGGAATATAAGCAGAAAAAAGTTTTATAACACCAGAGACATTTTAAGGTTGTCCTTCTGGAGATCATATACCAGAACAGGCGAATTCACAATTTTGCAAAACGAATCACACAGCTCTAAAAAAACAAGACCTTTTTGGGTCCAGGATATCTCAGCAAATTTTGTTGCTTTCAAGTATCCACTCTACGATGATTATACAACAAAGTTATTTTATCAAAATTAACTTAGGGAAACACAAAGCAATTTGTCCAAGCGTTGGACGTTGAACAATATTATTTTAGGTATTGTTCACACAATAATCGGCTCTACGTAAGTGGAACGAAGCCGAATTTTTTATCCGGTCAAGAACTGTCAAGATGGAAGAATTTCTGCCGCCACAACAACTATAAAAATAGCAGCATTGTTTTAGAGACATTTCTGAAAAAATCCGTGAAGTATATGGCAAAGTTGACAGGTGCTCAAAGACGACAAGTAATGAAAGATAAATATTGTATTCAAGTTGTAACTGTTCCAAAAATTCCAGCTTGGAAAAGTTTAGTGTTTATAGTCGAGAAGTTTTTTCTGGTAATCATACCACAATAAATTGTGAAGATATTGTACAAAATATGCGGCAAAAAGAGGGTGGTCTTGAGCCGTCGATGGGTTTTTGGTGTTGTTTTGGAGTAATACGAGTATGTACATGTTTTGTTTTATACTGGATGATGGTGCCATTAAATGTGGTGAATATTACGTTAGGTGATACAATGAATGTTGTGTGTCGGTAATGTGTGACGCAGGTGGTGTGCCGTTGATGGGCGAAGTACGTTTATGTCAATGGTTTTGAGCGGCAATTTAGGCTCGTTCAGCGACATGTTTTCTAGGTCGAAATCCTATTTTTTTATCTTTTATAACGATGCATGCTTCTGCTCGCTATAGTACTTTATTATTATTTATCTATTGGATCCGATTATTCTAAAGTGCGTATAAGTCTAAAGGCACAAAATTATTAAAGTACAAGTGTGTTTGAATATTAACTATTAAATTCGTTTCATTTCGTTCATATGATCTGCAGCATAGCTTTTATTCATACGGCGACACGTCTAAATACGACCCCTACGTAATACATTTCTTGTAGTATAACTTTACATAAAAAAAAACAGCTTCATAGAAGCTGGTTGTTCCATAACAATTTAACTTAAAATTTAAATGTAACGGATCTACCGAGATGTTTGAATTTTGTTCCAAAATAAAAAAGAATATATGTGTTTTACCATATGAAAATCAAATGAATCAAATATTATTCAATGGCAAACAATTTCACAAATTTCTAATATTATGAGATAAACTATAAGATTTTCGAGGCCATTGTACTATATATCGTTCTCATGAAACATTTTAACTTTTTGCCTAAGGTTGAGGTCACAGTGGAAGTGAGAAGCGATACGATGACTGGAGCGATAATAGTTCAAGCGAAGATCGATGCTATAAAATGGTAGAGTGAAACAGACAATTGTACTTAGCTTTTTGAGATGAAGAGTTTTATATTCTTAAAGGTGTGGTTAACATGGTCTGGAATACATTCAACTAATGAACGAATCAATGTAAACCGTGAATCAAACATGTAATCTTTGGAACTGAGTCAATATTCAGATAATTTTTATAAGTACGCAAGAACAAACACTCGACCAGGTTAGGTTGGGTTAAAATTTCGATACAAGAAGGATCTCACTTTGACAGCTGACGTCGGTTAGCTGTGATACCTATAAACGCCCATAAACTGGAATATAGAATCCTTACAGATCAACAAAGCGCCTTCAACATGTCACAAATTTGTTGAGACGGCTAGAATCAGACATACCCTAAGTCTTTTGGTTCGCCACAGGTAAATTTACCGACAGGTTTCACAATCAGTCTTGCAAAGGCTGGACAACGGAGCAGAATGTCTTGCATTCGACTACATTCTCAACAAAATTGCACCAGGTCCTCCTCAAAATAACTGGACAATTTTAATTAAGTACGCTATCCCAAAGTGTGATAAAGAAATTATTATAAAGAGAATTGCAAAACGTTAAAGAAGAAAGCAACAAAGACTAAAAATAGCAAGAAGAGTTCAAACGAGAAATCAATGCATAATCTGCTTTGTAGCTTTGACCTGAAATTCGCTTTGGTGTTCGCTCTCACTCTGACAACTTTGAGCGATTCAAACGCTTTTCACTTCCACTCTGACAACAGCTTTAAGCCATGAATAGTAAACAACACCACTGCATAAAATTTTAAAAATTTCGCTAAAAGTGATCTCAAGCAAGTGATGTGGCCATGAAGAAAGCAGCAGCATTGCTTTCGCTGCAACCTTATAGTCATATTGCTTCAATAAAGAATTTCATCGGCTCGCTTTGATTGGTATGTGTGGGTGTGAGCACTTGTGCTTCATTGCTCGGCAAAATCAATATGCATACATACATATCAGTGTTCCAAAAAAACAAAAAAAAAAAATAACGAAGAAAAAACGCCATTCTATATGTTCTAGCACAGACACACTTGCATTGGTTCAAATAAGTTCCGAGGCTTCGACACCGTTTTCTATGCCAGCAGAAAAGTGAACTACGTATCCACGTGTACAAAATGTGCACTCCCTGGTTTTTTCACAACTCGTTTATAAAGTATAAAATAATATCGGCAGGTGTCGCATGTGTGATTTCTCGACTTTTTAAAGATATTTACTATCAGAGTACAGTATAGAAGCTTCACACGCAGTCTATTCGAATGTACTTGATTTGACAGGTCTTAGCAATTTTTAACGTATGCGATTTCTACTTTGGCTAGATGTTGGTGCAGTTTATGTTGCCTATGCTCATTGAAATTTTCCCTCCCTCTGCTTTCGTATTATTCTAACACACCGACGCATGTTCTTTGTTACACGATTGTTTTTGTAAATATTTGTGGTGTCAATAGTTATTGTGGTGTTGCCTTTGTCACTGGCAATTTCACACATGTTGCTCATTGCACTCTGTGACGCACAAACAGTCTGTCGTGAAATCAAATGTGTTTGGCTGCTTTTGAATTACATTCCAAATCACTCACTCACTCGCTCAAGAGCGCTTTTTTTGGTTGTTTTCAAAGCTTTTCAACTTTCTTTTTGTTATAGTTGTCTTCGTGTTACTCTTATCGGAACAGAATGAAATAATGTCAAACTTTTACTTTTGTTTCAACGCATAAGTCAAAGTTTTGCATTTAATTGAAATTTATAACACCAGTATTGTTAGGACATGTAACAAATGTACTTAAGTTAAGATGGCTTCCGAGTTTTGTCATTTTAATATGCACTTTAAGTCGCTTTATCTACTTTGAAGCTATGCAAAATATTATTCTATCAATATATATTATTATATCATCTGATCATTATTGACTCGGACTGATATTTATATATTTTGATAAAAATTTTTATGCCCGTCCTCAAATTGAGCACCTATGAAGGCTGTGAAGCCAACTAAAATTTATCATGTGACCAAATTTGACTCGTACTTACTAGAAAAAACACTACATTTTCACATATTTTATAGAAATGTATATAAAAAAGGTTACTGAATCAGTATTTACTATACCTTTGTCATAAGCTTCGGTTGCAATGCCCTTCAGTGCCTACAGCGAATATT